CATTTCACGACTGTGTTGCCTTGGGGTAGACTCAACAAGCGTCTTCATAGCAACAATATAAATTCCAACATTTCGGCCCCTGCCATCACAGTTTTAAAGGCTAAAGTAATCTGAATGAAATTTGCTGAACCATCGTTGACACTTACGAACGTTCAAAACACTTCCATAAACCTCTTTGATATTCTTTGTGGCTACAGAGGCAGTGTTTCCCTTCTTGTATTCAAACAGCATTACATGCCGAATGTGTGTCTCGTCGTGTGCCATCACTATAAGGGATTAGAGTACACTAAACTTTACACATTATATAGGCTACACTAACGTGACGTTAATGCGGTTCGTTTAACTATTATATGTGATGTACGTTTTTTTTTGTGGGGGGGGGGTAGTTACTGAAAGTGTTTCAAAACGCGACATTAATTTCTTGACGACCTAATAGTATTATTTGAAATTAATCAGTTATGATGGATATGTACTGTTTTCACTTTACACGCTGTCAAGGATTTTATTCTAGTTGCGTCCGTCATTCTCTTGAGGTAACACCATGGAAATATGGCTGTATGATGTCGACAGCAGTGCTTTCTAGTTTAAATAGGAGTGAATAGTGCTGATACTCTGAGTGATTTTGACGTTTACCTGGAAGAAAGTAACACAGTCTGGTATTGAATCTTTATGGTATATGTTGGAGAGAAAACAGCTTGCTATCCACTATCCACTTCGAGTTAACGATTTCATTTTTTTTAATTTTTATGTTACATTGTGCAGTATCTTTATTTTGTTCTCAAGAACTCAGACATTCAGAGAAACTTAGATCTGCTCTGTAGTAGATATGAAGCTCATGTTATTCTCTATTATTGACCTGAATATAACACAAAACATACACTTTCTGTGTTTGGGATGAACATCAAAGGGCAATTTTCGGAAACATGAAATATAACTCCAGGATGAAAGTGTCATGAGACACTTCAAGAAAGCATCAACTACAACTCTAGGTTTAGAGTGTAATGAGACACTGCTGAAGAACATTAAATATAACACCAAATTTGGTGTAACACGAGGCATATTTTGTACAAAACGAAATGTAACTCCATGTTTGGAGAATCAAGTGGTACTTCTAGCGTACATTAAATATAATTTCAGGGTTGTAGCATCAAGATGCATTGGTGGCATAGGATAAATATGATATTAAATCTCTAAAAATTACATGTTGTTTTCTTTCATCGAAGAAAATATTAACAATCAATCCATTTTAGAGTGTTTACTTTTTATATAATATAAGTCGAGAATCACTGTCCTGTCAATAGATTTTAGCCACAAAAATTGTGGCTGAAGAAAGCACAGTGACTTGCTGACATCAAACACCAGTAACTAAACGTGCCCACATCTTCGGCAGCCTATAAACTCTTCGCACTAAAATGTAAAGACTGTGAAATTACTAATCTACCTGTGTTTCTGCATTTACTCCATCTCAGGTCATTTTCTGGTTGATTATTTCACATATTCAAGGTAAACCTTTTGTAGATACTTTAGACCAATTGAGACTAATATCTTATACGTTCTGCATGAACAGTAGCACTATTGGAGTATTATTGTTTGTATGTCTTGGGTTTACAGTAGTAACAAATGTTTCTTTACGCGTTTTGTAGACACAGTTATACTACTGCTACATCGTTGTGAATACTTTGTAGATACAATAGTACTATTATCACCTTGTAGCAGATACAGTATAAACACAGCAATACTCCTATTATCATGTTTTTGGTACACTTTGTAAACAGTGGTGTTAATATTTCATTGTTGTGTACTTCCTTGAGAACAATACAGGTACAATATACACACAGCAACGTTATCATCACATTGTTGAGTACACCTCGTAAATACAATAAATACATCACTATTATTAATACATTGTTGCGGACACAGAGTAAACACGGTAGTATTATTATAAGATTGTTCTATATATATTTTTTTTTGTAAAAACTATAGTACTATTGTTGATATATTTTTTGTACATTTTGAAGACACGGCATAATACTAACAAATTATTGTGTAGACGCGAGAAGTTTATCCAAAGTAATTGTTCTGATTCAAACACTATACTTTCAAACTGGGTAATGTGGCCTCGCTATAGAAAAATATTATGAGAAATATTAAAAACACGGTAATACCAAAAAACATCTTTAATACGGACGTTTTAGAATTTCCTTAAAAGTTAAATTCCACCACCAGCGTTAATATCTCCAAAACGTTAGTTCATATTATTCGAACTACAAAAACAACATTAGCATTGAGCGAGTTTCCATATCCAATCGGAAGTTTAGAAAGAACAGATTTAAACTGTAACAATATAATGGAATGTATGATAAAACGTGCGGCATACCCATGTTTAATAAATAACATTGTTAAGCGAAACTATTATAGAGAAAGGCTTAAATATAAGTATGAACACTATATCTTTAAAACAATAATAGTAAGTATCAAATAAAAACACTGAGAATTCGGAATTGATTACATTAATGACAACAGTGAGGAGTTGATAATAGTATACTATGGTCATATGGAGCCAGAAGTAAACAAATATGACCTTCACCCAATTTAGGGGAGCTCCTATAAAGTGTTGAGGGGATTGACTCGTCAACAACACCAGGGGTGTGTTGCTATATGTACGATGCTAGGTGGTATAATAGGATTACGTCATCTACTCTAGGGGGCGTATTCTATATCAGTAAGGAAATAAATAATTTTCAAGGGATTTGTTTTGTTTCATCTACAAACAAGATTATTGTGGTACAAGAAGATTAATATCTTCTATATAATGTATATCACTCCGGCAATATCTCAGTTTCAAAACACTTCTTCTCACAATAAGGATTTCAATATTTGATATACATAAAAATGTATATCTAGTTAACGCATTGTGACATTAAATCACTCTGTAACAAAATTATCAACAAATATATCATTTATATCTTTATTAGATCCAAATTTGGACAGTAAATTTGTTTGGATATGTGTCAACATCTGTAATATCCATGATATATACATTATTTTCCACAGCCTGTTGAATGAGGTCCTTACACAACCTTCTTAAGGTCAAAAGGTCCACTTTTGACAGTTCTTTCTGATGAATGTTCTGATGCTGTGAGATTGTGGACGAAGCCGAGAGGACAGAATATTCTCCCTTCCCATTTCAACCAAAGTAGACCCAGAACCAGTGACTTCCAGGTTTATGACTTGGATCCAAGTTGACGATGTACAGTTGTTTTTCTACATAGTTAGGTAGCTGATCACTGGTAAACACACTTCCAAGCTTCTTTCTCGTGAGAGTATAGAATAAATCTCTACAGTGTTCATTGCTTCTTAGATATCAGTGATGATGTTTCTGTACTGGTCAATTTCTAAAGTGGAGTGAAATTCTGCATTGGCGAGAACATTTATAGTGTTAAGTAAAGCTTTACCAAATCGTATTTCCATTCGTAGATTTCCTTGTTTCACCAAGTTAAAGTTTGAATCACCAGCTGATAGGTCGGGTGTAAGATCAAATACAAAGAGTGTATATCATTACGAATATTCGTCATATCCTATATCAATTCCTTGATCTTGAAACTGTTTTCCTGTTCCACTAAATAATGTTTTGTAGCTTCATGCATACAGCTCATCATCAAAATCTGGTTGTAAAGGTCGAGCAGTAATTTGTTTTCCATCCACATTGATTGCCACGAAATTGATAATGTAATGTTTGAAATTGTATTGGTTTTTCTTCCAAGATCCATTAAATGCATCATTATCAACACATCCTATAATAAGACGTGTAGGTTCTTAATCTAAAATGTATTATCAATAGATGTTTGTAAGTTTCCCCGAGGAACTTGTTTTGTAAAACGATCCTAATATAGATGGGTCCACTGTCTCTCATTGATGAAAGAGGCTAATATTTAGTCCACTGACCCTCTTCATTCACCGTTTGTGTAGGAGGAAGAGAAAGTAAATCTAGCTCGAACTTTGTACACTGACAGGACTTTTCATCAGGTAGAAGAAACATAATTACTTGTCAAAAATATCAGGGATTGATGTTCTCTGTCTTTTTGTTTGAAGTATTTTGAATGCCGGGCCTTTATGTTTCTTCCTTTTATTAGATAGAGTAAGCTATGTCAACTTTTGAGTCCCTTCTTTTGCACGTTGTTTTCCGGCATCAACAAAAGGTTTCCTTTGTATGACATCAGATGCCTGTTTTCTTAAAGCTAATGCTCCCTTTTTCAGGAAAGGTATGGCTGAACGAAATAAGTTGCTTAAGACATATCCCAAAGCATGATCTCCTTGCCATTGACTACATGCAAAATATGGTAAACTGTTTCCCATCTGGTAATCATAATGTGTCACAAACCACTGGGTCGTTATTGTAAGGTACTTGCATGATGACAGAAGTGAAATGTAATGATGACTCTCCCATGTTCAAGTGGTGTACGCTGACCCATGACATCCTTTATATCTATCTCAATAGTCTGAAATCTATTTTTAGATACAGGTCTGTAATGATGTTTCATAAATGTTTCAGTGATCATGTCTCCAACTTGACTTTTAACTTGAACAATTCGTAACAGTGGCATGTGTGCATTACTGACAATACTAGGTTCCACAATATCTCAGTAAACATAGAGTGAATAAAAGCCTCTATACATATTAACAGGCTCTTTCCAATGACCCGGTCTAATATATGTGATTTTATTGTGACCATCGGAGCCAGGAAAGGAAGTGATCCATACTGTACCGTCAGGTACATTATGTCAACTATGTGTTTGTTGTAGTTCAGCCGAGACCACTTCCCAGGAACCCTCGAGGCTAATAGATCTCGAAAAATGTGTGATTTTTGCTGGCAAAATAGTTCATAGAACTATTGCTGGGTAACGTCACATACAACTGATTCAAGTTGAATAATGGGTAATAGAATTATACATAACATTTTATGATGGCAGCCGATTCAGATCGGCTTGATGGATCCAGTTATTTAATTTATCAGGATATCCTTTCCATTTAACAAAATACTGTTTGTTTTTACTCCTTCCTCATTCAGCAGTATTTCTTCCACAGCATGTATATCGTTAGAGGATATGATAACACATAATTCAGATCAGCAAATGTTCCATCTAATTTTTCTCCGAGATAGTCTTGCAGTTTGTACACTGGAGGGTTTCTCTCCAATCTCTGTGAATTGTAAATATTTCAACCAAGCATATATCCTTTCATAAACTGACGTTTTACTTTACTAATTCGAACTTGATCATCCACTTGGAATCGAAATTTCACTTTTGTGTGTAGAGTGTTTTTCACACCACCGTCTGATTAGTGTGATTAACGTCTACTGGTCTCATTTGAATACTACAGTGATACTTGCTAAGTATCTTGCACCTGCATTAAGCTCACTAACTATGGTCAGCTTTGATATTCAGTCCTTATTCACTAATATCCCGCTTGAGGAAACAATTAAAACAATTATTAAAGAGTTATTCCAAACCCAAAATGCTCTGCACTCTAACCAACAAAAACAGCTTCTTAAATTGTCCCTCTTTATGACTATATAGATGGAGTGGCGATGGGATCACCTCTAGGTCCGACGCTTGCAAATATTTTTCTATGTTATTACGAAAAACAACCCCTTTATTACAAACTAGTATTATATAGAAGACACTTTGATAATACTTTTCTACTCTTTCACAACACTGATCACACCAATAAGTTTTTAGAATACCAAAAATCACAAAATCCATGTATAAACTTTACATGTGAGATGGAAGAAAACAATAACTTAGTTTTTTTATACGTTGAAATACACAAAATAAATAATCTCTTTACCACATCTATTTACTGTAAGAAAACATTTACTGGCTTGTACACTCGTTTAAACAGTTTCATACCAGACTCCTTCAAACATAATATTGTTCTAAATATTCTATACACAGTGTATAATATCTGACTACTTCTGACTTCACTCAGAAATTTCAAAACTTCATAACACATTACAAATTAATGGTTATCCCCTTAATTTCTTACACTCCATCACACGAAAATTTTTAACAAATAAACTAGAACCCACCAAAAAGTCTCACAATGTATCAAAATACCCACTAGTTCTTATCACTTCTTTCATTGACAAAGTTTTAAACTCAAATATCAAATTCAAAGGATAATCAAAACATATTACCCACAAAAATAAACTACGTTCAGTGTTTAGGTCAACATTTAGAATTAAAAATATGTTAAAACCAAACACACTCTACCCATTCCCATGAGCTCGTTGATTGTATATAGATACATTTCTGGTAGCTGTAAAGCTACCGATATTGGTAAAACTACACGTCACCTACAAATGCGTGCACACGATAACATGGGAATTTCAGCTAGAAACGGATATAAGCTAACTAATCCACCCAAGTTTTATATCCGATTACACAGTGAGAATAACCACCACCCCATACTTCTAGAAAACTTTAAAACTCTCGACTCCGCAACCACACATTACGAACTCTTTATTAAAGAAAGCCTCTCCATGTTCAATGATCACCCAACACTAAATAATAACATCAACTCCTCCCTATTGTCATTAATGTAATAAATTCCGGATTCGCACTGTTTTTATTTGATAATTAAATTTATTTTAAATATACAACAACAACATATACGTTATTTCATTCCGATCCCGGGAAGGTAGGAGGGGGGCGGCGAGATTTTTAATATGCAGTGTTTATACTTATAGTTAAGCCTTTATTCATAAGTATATCTATAGGTTATTTATAAGTGTAATGGTTTCTCTTAACAATGTTATTTATAATGGTGTTTTTAATATTCATTATAAAACTATTTTCCACCTGATTAATCAGAAAATATTATGAACATGAATTTGCCTTATAAACGCTACTTCTTTTCATAAATAACGCAATTTATAACACAAAACTCTTACCATCAGAACACGTAGGACCAGTAAATGACGTCATATCGCAATCACATGTGTAGCCATTCGATAATTGAACACACACACCTTTGTTGGCGCAAGCCCTGTTGCTGCATTTGGTATCGGCTCCTGCGGAATGGTTAAATATTCAATTAGTTTTTTTGACACTAATAACCAAGCGTTTTACCATTTGCTTTTCACCATGATCGAAGGACAACATTATCGGGTAGGTTAGGAAAAAAGTACAATATTCAGGTAAGAAAATATAAAAACTTTGGAGAATAGGTGATGTTAGGCGGAAGGATACTTTTGAGGGTCACGTCACGCTGGGAGCATGCGCACTGGAG